ACGCACGCGCGCACACACACACACACATGCACACACAACACTGCGAAGAAGCAAAACCAAACACACTAAACACATGACGAGGAACTATCAAAATAAAACAGGAAACATGAGACACAGACTGAGAGGCAGACTTGACGCTGGATCTGGGGCTTGGCTAGACGCGACACATGGAATAGACGGGAGGCACAGAGACAGAAACCAAGAGACTAGAAATCACAAAATACTAAAGAATAACTAAGGGAGCCAAGAATACAAAAGACTAAAGCATGAAAATCCACTAAATTTTAGAATATTAATAATCAAAACATAACCACTGGGTCACCATGACAGGACAATGACACAGGCGAGAATGTGACAGGTCATCTGCGCCTGCTTTTGTTTACAAATTGCCTATAGATGTAAATGTGCAAGTGAGTGTGAATGGTTGTCTGTCTCTGTGTGTTAGCCCAGGCGACAGACTGGCGACCTGTCCAGGGTGTACCCCGCCTCTCGCCCTATGACAGCTGGGATAGGCTCCAGCCACCCCCGCGACCCTGAAAAGGATAAGCGGAAGAGAATGGATGGATGAATAGTTTTATGGCAGCACCCTCTAGTGGTCTTGAAGCAAACTAAGACATGACATCTCCGGTGTCCCTTACTTTTGTCTGCTGGGGGAGCAGGATTGGATCTAGTGATACATACAGACTGAGTAAGCCGATTAGGACAGGCCTGGAGAAATAAGAGAAAAAATACAACCTTGTACAAACCATGCTTTTAATAAAAAAAATAAAATAAAATGCAAAAATAGTAATTATTAATACAAAAACGTTTTCACATGTTATTTGTTTGTCTGTATTCAGTCTCATTATTAGCCACGATGGAGAGTTAAACATATTGCAGGTAAGACCATGACATTCAGATTTAATGTTGTTAAACTTATTTTGACATACGTTTTGAGATAAGTCTTAAAAGTACATTGTTTACCTTATTTATTATTGATTTACTTTAATCAGATTTGGCTGGTATTGTATTTAAACGTATGACTCTCACAGTATGTTTATTTAACTGCCCAAATAAATGGTGAGGATATGGCCACAGTGGCTGCGAAGCAAGAAGTTGTTTTTTCATTCTGAAGCATAAATAAACATACCACAAAACCCTGCAGGGAGGAGCCATATTTGTTTTTTGTGTTTGCACGTACCATTATTGATGGTAACTGCGATATTTACAAGACGAAGCTTGAGTATTATTACATATATGATAAGGATGTAAGCATGTTAGCCTACAACACACAAACTCAAGTGGTGTT